TTTTTTTTTTTTTTTTTTTTTTTTTTTTTTTTTTTTTTTTTTTTTTTTGTAATGGTGGCGGAGGGAATGGGAAATGGGAGGGAATGGGAGATGGGAGGGAATGGGAGATGGGAGGGAATGGGAGATGGGAGGGAATGGGAGGGAATGGGAGATGGGAGGGAATGGGAGATCGTAGGGAATGGGAATGGGAGGGAATGGGAGATGGGAGGGAATGGGAGATAGGAGGGAATGGGAGATGGGAGGGAATGGGAATGGGAGGGAATGGGAGATGAGAGGGAATGGGAGATGGATTTTTTCTAAAATTTTAAAACAAAGAAGAGGTGAGGGTGACTATAAACTGCGTATAAAAGGGTGTTGGGGGGGGGGAATGAAGCAAATTTTGTGGCAAAGTTTTTTCAACTCAAAGTTAATTTGTCTATGGTAATACCAAAAGGTGTCAAGGACATTCCTGTCTATAGTACCATCTAGGGCTCAGAACCTATTCAAGGAGCTAATCGTGAAAGTTTTTGGGACGAAATCGGCAACACTCTTCAAGTAAACGGCCCCCAGTCGACAAGGTCAGTGAAAATAAGAACCAAAGTGTCAGCCCAGCTCCACTTACCGGAAGTGGACTCGACCGGTGAACTCTTCGGTTGTAGAGGATCAAAATTTCTTTCGCTGAGTTACCCCAGGGTTTGATAAACAATATCGATTTCTCCCAACCCCCCCCCCCCCCCANCTGTTTCACCAGCCAGTTGTTTCTAATGGTCAACAACAAGAGCTCTCACTGTTTTACCATCCAGCTGTTTCTGATGATCAACAACAAAAGCTCTCACTGTTTCACCATCCAGCTGTTTCTAATGGTCAACAATAAGAGCTCTCACTGTTTCACCTGCGAGCTGTTTCTGATGGTCAACAACAAGCTCTCACTGTTTCACCAGCCAGTTGTTTCTAATGGTCAACAACAAGAGCTCTCACTGTTTTACCATCCAGCTGTTTCTGATGATCAACAACAAAAGCTCTCACTGTTTCACCATCCAGCTGTTTCTAATGGTCAACAATAAGAGCTCTCACTGTTTCACCTGCCAGCTGTTTCTGATGGTCAACAACAAGAGCTCTCACTGTTTCACCATTCAGCTGTTTCTAATGGTCAACAATAAGAGCTCTCACTGTTTCACCATTCAGCTGTTTCTAATGGTCAACAATAAGAGCTCTCACTGTTTTAAATGGCTTTTGGGGGATTATCAGTGATATCAACGCTGGCTTAGGAGAGGCTTTTAGGGGATTATCAGTGATCAACCATGGCCCAGGAGAGGCTTTGGGGGATGATCAGTCATTTCAACCATGGCTCATGAGAGGCTTTGGGGGATGATCAGTCATATCAACCATGGCTCATGAGAGGCTTTGGGGGATGATCAGTCATATCAACCATGGCTCATGAGAGGCTTTGGGGGATGATCAGTCATATCAACCATGGCTCATGAGAGGCTTTGGGGGATGATCAGTCATATCAACCATGGCTCATGAGAGGCTTTGGGGCATGATCTGTGATGACATTCAAGAGATCGAAGCTATTGCGTCCACCAAAGAGAGTCAGGAGATGTGTAACTGTTATTTTCCTTTGTTTGGTTACTGGAAATATGATCGAAAGAAATGTTGTCGACGTTAAATTGATCGACGCTAATTTTATAGAATGGAAATTTGATCGAATCCTTTTTTTCAGTTCACACGTTAAAATTTTCGTGAAATTTCATTTTGAACGCACTGTACTATATAGTAAAACAAAATAATGCGTTCAAAAAGAAATGCGGAGCAAAATTTCAACGTGAAAACTGAAAAAAAAAAGATTCGACCGAATTTCCTTTCGATCAAATTGCCGTCGATTAATTTAACGTCGACGAAATTTCCTTCGATAAAATTTCCGGAATCGCCTTTGTTTGATTTCTAAGTAACATTAATTACGAACGCAAAACACACGATTAACTTAAAATAAAGTGGACCAAAAAACTGAAAAGTGGCAGGGTCCTCTAGAAGTCACGTGCTAACTCTAGATGAATTTATCCGCCCAATTTCCAGAATAGTTAGGATAAAACCTAACTAACTCCTTTTCTACTTTTCTCTCTCTTTTTGTTCCTCCCTTTTTTCTTCTTCCTCTCTCTCCTTTCTTCGTTCTCACTCTTTTCTTCCTTCCTCTTTTCTTCTTCCTCTCTTTTCTTCTTCCTCCCTCTATTCTCCTTCCTCCCTATTTTTTCTTCCTCCACTTTGTTCTGTATCTTCCTTTTCTTCTTCTTCCTCTTTTATTCTTCCTCTCTCTTTTCGTATTTCACTCTCTTTTCTTCTTCCACTCTCTTTTGTTATTTCACTCTCTTTTGTTATTTCACTCTCTTTTCTTCTTCCTCCCTCTTTTCTCCTCCTCCCTCTTTCCTTCTTCCTTCCTCTTTTCTTTCAGTTTTTATTCCACCCACTACCCTCCCTTTTCTTTATTTTTTTCTCCAGATATCAGATATCCCAACGTTACTCCAGATTTTGTACATTTCTTTCCACAGGTCCCAAGATTGAGTCATGATTCTCTCAGATCTTGAATGATTTTAAAACGACTAGTGGCATGGTTTTTAGGTTTTACAAAATATCGTGCACCTAGACAACGACATCCCTGCAATAATTTAATAAAAATTCGACTAACAATTGCGGTAACAAAAAGCAATGGCGTCGTCCATTCAAGTTTGGGTACTATAGACCGGTAACGTATTTTTAAACTGAATGAGCGTTTGAATCACAATTTTTCATAAAAAGTAACCCACTAACAACTCCCAAGTGGTCTCAACAAAATGTATCTTACCAATCAGTGTAGGGACGCACTATTTTATTTTTAGGCGCACTATTTCTTATTTAGATGGACTATTTTCTTTTTGGACGCACTATTTTCTTTTGGACGCACTATTTTCTTTTAGACGGACTATTTTCTTTTAGACGCACTATTTTATTTTTAGATGGACTATTTTCTTTTCAGGCGGACTAGGAACACTATTTTAATTTCAGTTGCATTTTTTTTAAAGACGCACTTTTTTTTAAAAACAGAACTGTTATTATATAACACATCACTTAGAACAGTGGTTCTCAACCTTTCTAATGCCACGACCCTTTAATAGAGTTCCTCATCATGTGGCGAC